GTTCTGGCATTGGCATCTCATGTTCATCCTGGAGTCAATAATGACTCCAAGATCCCCTCTTAGAAGCACAGAGGCGGAAAGGGAACTCCCCAGCCTGTATGTATGCTGTGGATTCCTTCTCCCAAGGTGCAGCACCCTGCATTTATCTACGCTGAACCCCATCTTAGTCTCATCTGCCCACTTTTGTAGTCTGTCTAAATCTAATTGCAGTCTCTCTCTCTCTCTCTCTCTCTCTCTCTCTTCAAGTGTGCCCACCTCACCCCACATCTTAGTGTCATCAGCAAACTTGGACATGTGCTTTCAACCCCCTCATCCAAGTTGCTGATGAAGATGTTAAACAGTGCGGGCCCAAGGATTGAGCCCTGGGGTACCCCACTGCTCACATCTCGCCAGGTTGAGTACGACCCGTCCACCACTGCTCTCTGGGTGCACCCCATCAGCCAGTTTTTTACCCATCCAACTGTGCAGGCATCCATGCCACAGTCACTTAAATTGAGAACGGGGTGAGACAGTGTCAAAGGCCTTCTTAAAGTCTAGAAAGACTACGTCCACAGCAACACCATCATCCAAGGATTTAGTTACCTAGTCATAAAAGGCAATCAGGTTGAAGGCAGGTTCTGCCTTCAATGAACCCATGCTGATTGCCCCCGAGCATGATCTCCCCTGCAGGCCCCCCGCAGATGTGCTCCTTGCTTTTCTCCAAGAGATCTTCCCGAGGACCGAGGTGAAGCTTACAGGCCTATAGTTACTTGGGTCCTCCTTCTTCCCTTTCTTAAAAGTGGGGACCACATTAGCCAGTTTCCAATCCCCCAGCACCTGGCCAGAGGACCACAAATGCTTATACAGCCTGGCCAAGGGCTCCGCAATGACCCCTGCCAGCTCCCTCAACACCCTTGGGTGGAGGGCATCTGGACCTGCAGATTTAAAAGTGTCCAGCCCTTCCAGAAGATCCCTAACTACCTCTGCGCTGACCCAAGGCCTGTCAGAGCTATTCCCAAGACTATCCCTACCTCTGGCAGGAGGGATGTCCTGGTCCCCGTTCAAGAAAAGAGGCAAAGAAACTGTTAAAAAAAATAGGCTCTCGTCTGGCGTAGCCACATGGTTACCATTTGAGTCTTGCAGGGGCCCTATATTGCCTGGTGCCCTCTTCTTGCTTCCAATTTTTGTTGTCCTTAATCCTGGACGCTAGCCTGAGTTCCATCTCTGCCTTGACCTTCCTAATGGCCCTCCTACACTCACAGGCCAAGGAGGAATACTCCTCCTTGGTGATAGCCCCTCCCTTCCACTGATTGTACCACCCCCCTTTCACCCCCCTTTTAGTCCTCAAGCATTTCTGAATGCCCTTGCTGACCCACGGGGGTTTCCGAGCACTCTTACCACCCCCCCAGTCCCTGAGACAAGCAAGGGCGTTACCCTCTGGGCCTAGACGATCGCCCCCTTAAGGTACGACCATCCCTCATGGACTCCCATCTCCTCTACCTTCTGGGCCTTCAGTGCCTCCCCCCCTAATATCCAAAGCTCATTGAAGTTGGCCCTTCTGAAGTCAAGGGCTTTAGTCTTGCTATAAGCCCCTGACACCCTGCGCTGGATAGTGAATTCCAGCAGGTGATGATCCAAGTAGTTGAGAC